ATATTGTCACTATTGCAATATTGCGTTTCTAGGACAAACACCCCACAAACTTTGCAAGAACATTTTTTAGAAATATGGTACCTTAGGGATGGCCAGAAAGTGTATCTAAATTCGATTTTGACTCAAGGCATATCCAAGGCAATATTTTCAATATTTGTTTTATCAACATGCTTCATAGTTTCGTCGTTTTAATGTTGAGATGAAATAGGAAAGCTCTTGCACAGTTTAAGAATAACATTTTTGACGTAGCTAATGACATTTTGAATATTAAATAAGGGACCAAAACCTGATGGAGGGGTAGATAGAAGAAACATGATTTAATAAAAAAATTGACATTGTAGTATCAACTGGAAAACAATAAGCTAAAAATAAAAGATAAAGCAATTTTATACAGTTTTCAAATCTGATCATAAATTTCTCGGGAATAAGTTGCTTTAGCAAAAAGACTCTGGATTTGAAAAACTTTCAAACTGTGCTGGCTAAAGCGAGTTTTGATAGAATTTATAATGACGTTTAGATTCTCTCTTTCTTAGTAGGAATGGATTATCGATACAAGCAAACTTTGAAGCTTTCTTGATGATACTTTCGAAAACAAATCAGCCGATCGTTTCTCAAATTCTCAAAAAGTTTCTTCCCAGCAGTTTCTTTATCTTCAGCAGCCAATTTCTCTATTTTAAAGCGTTTAGGCCACAGAAAAACGATACTCTGTCATTTGGTTTTTGCACCAAGTTATTCTATATCAGGTTTCTCCATCTATTTTCTAAGCCAAGCTCTTATTAATCGTTTCCTTGGACAATGACCAATTTCTTCGATCAAATTCCCATTTCCAATTTATTCTTTGTCTTCTATGATACAGAAAGGGAAAACTAAGGAAACATTTAAGGGAATATTAAGCACAGTTGCTTACAGAATGGTAGACTAAATTTCTTTCCAATTTGGACTTAAAATCTATTTTATGGAGGTTAGGCTCCAGTGAACGGTTATTTGAAGAATGAGCCCCAGCTTCCTACTTATTTTTCGTTGCTGTCATCTTACTTTAGCCTTCTGTAGGCATTCTAAAAATAGGTTAAATTCTGGCATAATATTCTTTTACATTTTTGAGAAATATTGTCATGAATAAGGCACTACAGATATAATTCCGTACTCTCTTTGATAATCACATAATTCCGATGCTAAAGGCACTTCAATAAAAGGGAACTTTGGCACCCTTGCCCCTTTTATCAAAGAAGAGTGTCCCCCCGCGCCCCCATCTTCAATGTTCCTGGCACAATTTATATCCAGGTAGGCCGCTATTTTCTAAGTAACTTGGTAACTTGCAAGGATCGATACAAATAATGTTTATGCAAGAAATAAAATTCTTTTGAGAAAATTTTCACAAGAAAAAATGCAAAATAAGCATCTCGGCATTACAAAAGATTGGAAGCACAAAAAGTGAGACCCTGCTATGATTGGTAAAAGGGAACTGACAACATTTGAAAAAGCTTAAAAACATTTGACAGGCCATCAAGAAATTTAAAATGAACTGCTTCAAGTATAAAAGCTAATAAGGAAAAGCAATTAAATGATCATTCTCTTTTCAATGTGTCTTAACTGGAAAACAGAAAATTGAATGGTGCCAAGTTTTTCTTTGGCTGGGCTCTGCCCAAGTTGGATACGTTGTGAATCAGTTTTATGCATAAGGTGATAATCTTATCTCGTTCTACTAAGAGAAGTGTTGAGCTTCCGAACTTTACCAAACTCTGGCTTCAACAAGGGCAGAAAAATATTGGCATTGAATAAAAACAAGGCAAGAATCCTCCAAAATGATATTTTAATAAATCCTTTAATGCTAGCTAGCAATAATAGTTAAGCCATTATATAAAAAAGTCCTTAAATTTCAAATAAACATAAAAAGGTGAATGAATGTTTTGCGAAGTTGCATAGAAAATAATCGACTTGATATTATTGTACACATAGAAACTCTGCGATAAACATCAATATAGAAATGAAGTTTAGTTAAAAGTCAATGTTTACACGTTGATTTAGTGGTGCGTATCTTAGATCATTTATAATGGTGTGTGCTTTCTGGTGCCTCACTGTGCAATGGTTTCTTTGTCCATGTAGGCCATATATGACTGGTGTGAATGTTTTGTTAACCTCTCTGTGTATGTACAATGCCTGCCAAAAGTCCGACATCAGTTTTCAAGATCAAGTTAAGCCATTTCCCTCTCTCTCTGGGAATAACGTTGGTTGACTAAAAACAGCGTAAAAGATTTGAGAGTACATATCTCCTTTTGCGCTACTTGTTTGATATTTTTTTAAAACTACAACATTCTGGGAAGAAGATTATTGGAAGTAGTGACTTTTTGGAAAGAAATGAAAGATATAAAATAAAACGCAAACTGCTGGGTGTTCCAAGTATTTTTGGCAGGCACCGTACATGACAACGTTATTTTATGTAGATGACTTTATCCGCCAGTAACAGGATGTTTCTTCACACATTCATCGAATACAGTCTTGGTCACGTGCTTGGCTGAACAATATAACACGTATCTCGAGTATGGATCAGGTTGGTAATTGACTTGGCGATGTTGAATGTAATTCTGCCAATGCCTGTTTTCGTTAGTTCGATTTACGAAGCTCTCCACTATGTCAGAAATCAGCTTGCCATTTATAAAACTCTTGCCTTCCGGTAAATGACTCATGTATTTATCGCTGAACGAGTAATCAAACAGCCATGTTGGAATTTTCGTCTCTACAATGATAGAAAATATTCTGTTTAAATGAAAATGTTCATGAACCAAAAACCATTTTCAATACAAAAGCCTAATTATTTTTGCAAACGAAAACCAAGAACCAGGGCACATTTTCTACGTCTTTTTTTGCACCTTAGGCCAACTTCAGGCGACTGGCAGCTATTATATTAACTGAAGACTGAAAACACGAACAAGGAATAGCTTCTTTTTTATTGGAAGGGGGCAATACGAGCAGAAAGGATGAGAAAGAACCAAGAGGAACCAAATATATCCAAAAGTGGCTAAAATTGTCATTTAAAAGATTTTGAAGAAGCTTAATAATCCAAGATCAAATGATTCAAAATATGGGCAATATTAAACCCTTTGGCATGCACGTGTCTGTTACTAACACTTAAATTAGCATTAACTTCAACAAAAATTAAGCCCTGAATTGCTTTTACAAACTGGCTTCTCAGTCATTCTCTCGGATGTCGAACTAAAATATTAAAAACTCAAATGGAGATAAAAAATATCAAATCTTCTTTAAAAATTTTGTTGACAGTACAGAATAGAGTGACAGATAAAATGCTTAAGCATGTTTCAAATTTAAATCTCCTCAAAAATGCTATTTTTAAACAAAGTAGAATATGAATGTGATTGACGGTAAAACGAAGAAAATATCTAAAACTTACGAGTTGTCAAAACGAGATCCATGTAGTATTGATGATAGTCAGCCAACATTCGTTTGTTGGTGTCAAAAGAAAATATACGAAAGCCTGGGTTATTGAACATCACTGGTGTAATGCCTGGTGCAGTGAGGAGGAATGAAGATTCACTATCCATGACGTCATCAACTTTATCGTTGAGCAGTTGTAGTCTCATATCGTCAAAGTGCGTGTGCCCATATAGTTGACCTTCAATCAATTCAAGCTTGCAATTAAAGGCAGTGGCATATTTGAAGACAGATTTGGTTGGGTAGGAGTTTTGTGGATGTCACAGATTGGACCCCATCCCCGCTACCCCCTACAGATTTGTGGCAAACCGCTATTTATTATAAAATAATCTAAAGAAAGTTTAAGACCGACAACATCGCAGAGATCTATGCCTTTTAAGTAGATTTGTTTATTCATAGCATCAGTACTTCCCCCCAAAAAATGTAGTCATGGCACTCTAAAGATGAACAAATTACAAAGCTTGAGACAGATCGAGGAAATTTTCAGTTATCTTTCCGAAAGTCTATACGAAGGAAGGCCTACGGAGAATCATAAAAAACCTTTATCATAACACCATAGTTACAGTTAAGCAATTTCAATGTTCTACAAGTGCTGTCTTGCGTTGTGCTAGTGAATCTGAAGCCTTGGGAGGTTTCTCTGCCACATTACATGTTCTTAATTATCCCAATGAAATCCTAAATCTATCAGTTATCAATTTTCATGTCGATGAACTTCTAAAGAATTTCGTGACTTACAGATCTCAAGATCTAAAATTACTCTAATCAAATGAGATATTCTTCTGAATACAATCGATAGCAAAATGACCATTATCACCATGTAATAATGCATTGTTGTATTACTAAAATGAGCAGGCTAATTATCATTGTGTACATCAGCAAGGCTATGTAAATTTTTTCGGATGTTATACTACTTTTCTATGTTAAAACATTTGTACAATGCAACTTCTTCATTTAAGAGAAACTTTACAGAAATTTCACACTTGAAAGAGCAAAGGACAAAAGAAATAAGGGATATGAATGAGTGCATATAAAAATTAATAAGCGGGGGTCCAAATAAGCTCCGGTAGGGTCAGAAAAAATTGAAAAATTAATAAGCGTCCCCCCTTCTATTAAGGCCCTTAGAGTATTCCTTTTAGATAGGACAGATAGGAGAGTTGCGACTATTATGATATAAAATACAACTTATCAATTAAGAAAAAAATGTAAATTAACACTTTCTTACCAATCACGATATCCTTGTACGTCTTTGTTACAAGTTCGATGTACGTATTTGCGTATTTTTTAATCCAATAATTATCCGACTTTACACCACCAAATATCCTGTAAACAGACTGAAGTTTTAATATTTCAATATCTTTAATAAGAGTAAAATAAATAATAAAGCAATAATACAGTAAATTTATAAACAAATTCACAGTTTAACATAAACATCTGTGTTATTATCGCAAAAACAGAGTGTTCATTGGTGTTGGCATAAACCTTGGCATTGGTGTACTTTGTGATGCTAGAAAGAAGGCAATATGGTAGTGCATGAAAATACAGAACAGTCTTTTAATCGTATAAAAAGATAGCTACCACTAAGCACGCCGGTTGCGCAAGAGCCTTTAATTTCAATTCTACTAGAGATTCTTGCTTGTTAATATAGGAATCAAATACGCTTCCAAGTAAAAAGCAAGAAATTCCCTATGGTTATAAAAACACTGCCTCGGGAAACTGGGATAAACGAGGCCTCGGTAACATCAATTTTGTAATTTACTCGATAAATCAACAAATGCAAGTTTTTGACCGAATTTTTTTTGGTACTGCAAAATTTGAAGACTGCACGAGATACAGAAGACATAGCATACTAAAGCACTTTTTATCTGAAACTTTTCAGAGCAAAAACGTCGGATAATGATGGAAGTAAGCTGAAAACGTTTATCCAGGTGTGGATCGAAAATCACGTGAGAGGAAGAAAGACACGTTTGATTGGTTATCTGCTGGGTACCAAGGATATAACACGTACCCGATTGGAATATGACCTGAAATGACCACCCTATTCCCGCCGCTTTTCGCATCTTTCAACTGATCTGCCAGCCATTTCATCTGAGCATTGGCTACCAGCAGAGGCTGTCCACTTAGGCTCGATGTTACCCAGTAGTTAGAATTCAGCTGCAGCAGCGTCAATTTAGCACCTGTTAGATGTTAGAATAAAAATTTAGTCATAAAGTGTTGTTAGAGAAATGTTGATGACGCCAGGCTACCCGATGTCTAGTCCATCCGTGGCCAAATAGACAGAACGGCCAATAAACTCAGCTCTGGAACCCCCAAAAGAAATCTGCCGATAAAAGTTATGTCTTGTACCTAGTAAGGGTCGAGGTTCTACATCGATATTACACAGAGGGGTACAATAACACTGCTCAAAAGAATAGGATGCGCAGAACAGATTCGAGTGGCTTTGCTCTAAAGCTTTGGTTTTGATCGTATGTAACATCCAGTTTGCAGCTACTTACTTTTGATTTCAGCTTTGTAGTACCCTCCCATTAGAAATGTTTTTTTCAGCTCATCTTCAGTAGTCACTTTTGTTGAGCATTTCTTGCATAAAATCAACGGTTGCCACATGGTCAAGACTTTCTCGTAGAGAGCTGATCCGTTAGGAAGGACGTAATATCCAGGAAGATCGTGATTGCCAAACGACGGTAAAATTGGCAAATCCGGAAATGCTTTTCCAAGTTCTTCGCTAACAGCTTTGATATTCTTCAAGATTCTCTCCTCTGCAGTACCATTTAGACCCTTGCTTTTTTCAATGTCGTGTGCTACATAGTCACCTGTTATTCGTAAGAAAAAGATGCTTAAAGTATTGCGAGTTGGTTGCACACATCAACTAGATCTTCTTAAAGAACTGGGATTTATAATTATATCTTCACTTGAGTAGGTATTTGCATTTAGTAGTACCGAATTTCCAGCAAATTCTTTAGAACAAGGAGTCCAGCGGTGTGAAGAGACACTGTGAAAATGTTTACATAGAACGATCTGGCAAGAAGAGCTCAGAAAACAATACATTACGCCGCCTTCCATCTTAACGAAACTAAATTTTGAATAACAAAGTAGGAAAGAGCTTTCTTTATTGCATGGTTGTTTTAGTAAATTATTTCTAGAATTGATATCTTGTCCATCTCCTGTTGATTAGTTGACTTTCTGCCCTTTGATAATTATAAATGCATAAAAGTGAGGATCCAAGCAATTGACTAATAATTAGGTCAACATTTTTCTTTTTTGCTCAACAAGAAAAGGATTTTATATCAATTTTGCAACTACTTAGCCTGCAACAAGGCGATCAATAGTAAATCGATAGAGTTGGTGCAAAAGTACTTCAGCATGCAAAGATGTGACAAAGAAATCATCCCTTATTTTTTACTGCATGCTGTCATGTCCCAAAACGTGATACAAATCATTGCACTAAGAGTGAAAATAAAACAACAATACCAACAATTATCTGCTGAAAAATGAGAAAACTGAGTTGAAAGAAGCTGATAGAAGGCTGCTATTACCTGTCAAAAGAAAGAACTTGATATTGCCACGTTCTCTAGCTGACACAGTCCTCATGAAACTCAGAGATGAATTCAACAAAGAATAAGGAATATCGCAGCCAACTCGACCATAAGGGGCATCAAAAGGTGCTTTCTCCACTGTTTTGTTGACCAAGGAGCGACAATAGGAAGCACTGCTGATAGACTGGTTATAATTGAGATCCAAGTGAATATCAGAAACATGAAAGAATTTCATTTCAGAAGTTCTGACTGTTCTTTTGACACCATCATTGTATGCTTGACAACCAAATTTGAAAAATACAGCACACATGAGTAGGATGAGACAGACAATGAACAGCATAAAAAACACAACAGCTATAACTCTATACTGGCTGATCTTCTTCTCTGGTTGCATTTGTTTATGGGTTGAGGATTCCAAATCAATTTCTGAATAGTCTGTCTCCCCCATGACCACAATTGAATTCTCAAATAACTACCTGCAATAAAAAATATTATTTGAATAAGCTTTAAATATACACAGACACAGTCTGACTGCTCACTAGCACACAGAAGAATATGTAAAGGAAATCCAGACAAACAATGAATCTATATATCTTTTCAAACCTAGACAAAGGATTATTTTTTTGAATAGGGTTGAAGCAAGACTTTATATTTGTGATCACAATCTTGTCCAATAGAGGTAGAATCTTTTCTTTGCTTTGTAGCAGCTTTTATATACTTATTAAGGACAAGAGCATAGACTTTTCACATCTTTCCACAATAACTTAGTAAATTCTATCAGAGGGATATTGATAAGCACTTGGGTTACAAAAGTATGGACACAATGGGAAATACATCAGGCTACACTTGCCAGTAGCCTAAGCTGCAGAACACATGAAGAGCAGCAGCAATGGAAGGCAGCAGCAATGGAGGGCAGCAGCAATGGAGGGCAGCAGCAATGGAGGGCAGCAGCAATAGAGGGCAGCAATCATATTTTGGCAAAAGACAAACATTTTGTACAATTATTTAGAGCTGGAATGTGATATTTGCAAGCACACAGAGTATTCTCAGTTCTTTTTCCAGTTAACCTGCTCTTAACTAGGTGAATCTACTGAACAATGAAGGCTGCTCTGTGTAGTTTGCACAATTAATACATTAGGGCGTAGTCTATAGGTGTCTATAGACTATGATTAAGGTTAAGAAAAATTTACTATCAGAGTCAAAATATCAGTCATAAAATGCATGAATATTTGACTTTAGGAGCTTTTTATAACTCCGTTTACTAGTGATTTGAAACTTTTCATTTCACCTAACAGGAAAGAAAAAAACCTAGGAAATTCCATACCATGTTACAAAATCTAGTTTATTTAAGAAAGTAGCCTTTAATGTCTACTTGTGCATCCATACAAGAGTTTAGCTTTATTCTAAGCTATTCAATACTGAAAGAATGAAAATTACATCCTTAGTTACTAAGAATACCTTAGAGGTGAGAGATTGATGCAGCGATTGAAATGCTAAATGACATAAAACGTGTTGGTTTCCAAATTTAACATGATAGTAGATATCAGTAAAAAGCGGATAGATAGAATAATTCACTGTTTGTCTAAAAATGAATTTGTAAGTCACTTAGTATGTCAGCTTGTAAATCAAACCATTTGTATGTTCAATGACAAAAGGTAGGGTGGCTTATGAGAGAGGGGGACTAATTAGATAGAGAGGCTTATCAATAATTTAATGTAAAAAATATTATAAAAATGCCCTTTTGCATTTTACGTTATGAAAATGTCTCAAGAAATGTTCTCAAAAACTTTGCAAGCAGCTTCAAAAGTTTCTTAAAATCAATCAATGATAATTTCCTAATCTTCCTCAGGGTCCCCAGAATAAATTGATATCCCCTGAGACCTTTACAAAAAAAAATGTTGACTGACTTCCAAGGCACACAAGTAAATAATTACATGCACCGTAATTAATTCACACAATCTTTTCATTATGACACACATCAAGAGACCACTCAATGCACATGTTTCTTTGTTTGACAAAAAGGGCTCATAAGGGGAGGGGCTTAATAGATAGGGAGCTTACTATAAACGTTTGCTTGATAAGGGAGTCTTAATAGATAGGGGGCTTAAAAAAGAGGGGGGCTTAATAGGAGCTTTAGGGTTTGAAGACAGAAATGATTTTAGATGATGCTGAGTTATTTTCAATCATCTGTTTCAAGGGTCTTTATATCTACATACATCACAATTGCATTGTATGCTAGACCATTACTTTATCCATCATTTGAATATATTAACAGGTTCCAAGGATTTTATCTCGTTTAGCAAACTATTCCAAACTTTAGAAGTCCAAAGTTCTGAGACTGTTTGTAACAAATGTAACTTGATTAAGTGTATGGTGATTTTGGTTGTGCCAATTCGAATTGGAAACTGTTTTTAAAGCTTGCTGTTGCCTTTGAAAAGCTTTGTATAATTCGATAGCGGTGCCCCTTGTTCTCAGCAGGATCAATTTTGTATTTTGTCTTTCCTCTTTTGTATTTTGTATTACAAAGTTTTATGAGAAAATGTTGGGGGATTTATCTGCAATTCGAAGGAAAAAGGTATGGGAAAAGCACACTCCGGTAGGCTTCGAACCAGGGCCCTCCACTATTCAAACACAGTGGTCATACCACAAAACCACAGTACAGACGTTCCAAGTAGATTGACTCAGCTAGAAGCTCCTTAGCAGGGGATGAAGCAGCAATTGTCAATTGCCATTTCATTAGCTGTAACAAACAATTGCATAGGTCCACTGTAAACAATTGCATCTAGGTCAACTCTGATTCCTATTGGTTGGCTGAACGGCTGCAGAGACGTGCTCAACTTCTGACTGGATAAATAAAATCTCACCTATGCTCCCGCCAAAGATTGCAGAGGTGAAGTACACTCTAATTGGCTTACAAGATGTTTGCAGAGGTCAAGCAAGCGGTGATTGGCTCTCAAGAGACAAACAAGTTTCTGGATTCAGAAAATATGGATCAGATAAATGCCTAGAATTGCCACTCAACTATTTTGTGCAGAGGCCGAAAGGCAGTCATCAAAATACATGCATATTGTTGGTATCAACAGAGCCAGATCTAGGGCAGACGTTGCTGAAGAGTTTGCCAAAGAAACTATTCATTAAAAATTGTTGATAGTTAAACTATTTTATTTTGTTGTTGTAAAAATCTGACATATGCTTTTGCATAGGTTGCTGTAGTCTGGATCCGCCTCTGCACATCCATAGGATGTTAGCTTTTTCTATGGCTATATTTTTGTTCTCCAATACAAAACCAGTGTCAGGTGTCAGGTGCACATGTTAAAGACTTGGAAACTAGGTCACCAACTTTGCAATTCACATGCACACTACAAATCCTTTGAAGCCCTGTAGTTAATCATCTGTCATTACCTGTGCTTACTGAATTTCCTTGCTACAGATCCAGAAATTTTTAATGTCTTTAAATCTGATTGATGGGATTTAAAAATCCCCACAAAATTCCTTTCACTCGATGATCATGTATTTAACACACTAGAATCTAAAGTAGGTTTTGTAAGCTATCATGATTGGGGGCACCAAAAATCATTGAGAACCAAGGATCCTAGGTATAATGGACAAACATTCTATCATAATTATGCCTCGTAGTTCTATTTGTTCTGATTATGATTGATGAAGAAAGGAAAACTTTAAAGCACAAGAAGTGGAGCACAGTTTAAATGAAGGCATGATTAAAAAAGCACCTCTATGGAGAGCCCCGGTTGTTTTCCAAAGCATGACTTCATGTCAAGTAATTCATCTTGAGATAATTCATTATAAAGCATAATTCATCTTCAGATAAAATAAGTTAACGTTGAGTTAATCCTGCAGGTAAATACTGATACTTAGTAAATTAAAACCTATAAGTCTGGCCTTTATATGCGAGGGGCAAATCACTCCAAGAAAATCTCGTAGACCTTTGTGAAAATCCTATTGTTTTATCTAAAAATCCCCAGAAATCCTTGCAAGAGTGGATTGCCACTCGTTTTATAAATATATATATCAAACGTAAAAAGGACAAACTCGTTGAATTCTTATTGTGCGATTGTAAGGGAAAAATTAGGCTGACTAGACCCGACTTATCAGTGTATTTCAATGTTTCAGAAAAAATAAGAAATGATTCATACGAACTGTGCAGATACCTGTTTTGTTTATTATTATCAATGACAATGACTGCACCTCTGTTCGCCATTCCAGGAATAAAATCTCTTATGTATACAAGGAATATAATTGGAAACGAGGCGGTGGCAATAACATTTATTTACGGTTGGCCTAATAAACACAGTTAAGAGTTTATCCTCAAAAAAAAAAACGAAAATGAGTTCCAGTAGCTCAGAGTCTGAAGATGATGGTTGTATGAGTAAGGAGCTTATTCCCCTTGGTGCTTATGAGAATATTCCGAAATACACATTTAAGGACAGACGACCTGTGAGCCGTAGATTGAATAGGCCAAGTGCAAGGAAGCGTTGTCGACAGGCAGTTTCATGTGTGACCATGAACGTCGTTAACGACACCCAAACATTGATTAGCTTCCCTGCAAACTTCAGTACGGAAAACGAAGGTTCACTGAATGGTTTGTAGAAAGTTTTTAAAATGTACTGCTCTGCTAATTTTGCTCTACCTTAAGCTGAGTCTTTGGCAAAGCTTAAGGCTGCTCTGCTCTTGGAATAAACTCAACTCAACTCAAACTTTTTATTCACAGCAATAATTACCTACTAAATTTATATTTGATACATGAACCACAAGTTACAATGATTTTTTACAAACAAAACTACATACAGTTGATAGTTCAGAGTTCAATATGTTTGCTGTCGGAAATATGAAAATAACTCACAAGAAGCTATCTAGGTCATATGCCCGATTTGATGTGTATAAAAATGTAGTACATTTTATTTGTAAAAAGAAGGCTTAGAAAGCTTGAATTTTTCAAACTAGAATGTGGAAAGTCCATGTATGATGAGAACAATGTTTCAATATTTTTTAAATATTCAGAAAAATAGGGCAAAAACACAACAAGCGATAAACAAGCATTTTCTTTTGCAACTATTTCATCTAATAGTCAAATGGAATGGGCTTTATTGTTTTTCATGAAAATAAAATATGGAACATAATTCCTCTAAAATGATCTTAATCTCAAATGACTGTACAGTATTTCCCTTGATATTCTTAGAGTTTTTTTATACCTTATGCATCCATTTACCATATCATGCAATTTACCCAAAAAATCTATTTCCTAATTCTGTAAATAGTTTACACTAAAGGAACATGTGGTATGACAAGTTTCTGCTTTTCTGTGCTACTTTAAACCAATTGTTTATTAAAGGGGGGAGAGGGGGAATGCTGAAACCTTTTACTGTTCTCTTTGACTTTGAAAATGATTGTAAGCTCCAGTTCCTTTTTTGTGATAATAATATCCTGCCACACCACACCTCTTGGAATTAATGGTTCCTCAATTTTTCTATTACAGATGCTGACAGTAGCATGTTTAATGATTCCAAAGCAGAGGAAACTGTCCAGGAAGAGCCAATGGCAACAAATCAGGATGCACTACTTGTATATTGACACTTTGTTGTTAATGACAGTTCAGTTGTTAATGATGATTACCAAACATACCTGTTTAAGGTATTACAGTCAAAAGTGTTTGCTGTAGTTGATGATTTGGCTACAGTTTTTGTGGTTCGGGATTATGATCAGACATTGCAGAGACTATTGGTAAGGAACTTGTTTCTTGTTTGCTAGAAATTTGTATCAGTATGCCTCAGAATTAAGAGCATCAATTTTCTCCAGTTTTCCCAAATATGTCTTGTTAGGTATGGACTTAATTCAAACAAAATCTTAATTCATTCACTTTATATTAAAGGCAAACAAATTTGCACAATTCAAAGGAAAGTTTTTTCACTGGATGGAAAATTCTGGGCGTTGACTTGCTCGTGTGACAAGAGCAGAAGGTTGTTTCTTGAACAACTAAATTGTGTGCTAGAAATGAATGAAATGGGTTAGTTACTTTTATATTTTCTAGTTAGTTGCTCTTATAAATTTGTTGTTTTAGTCATTTAAGGCCGAGTTACTTTATTTTACTTTAATACCATTTGTGAACAGTTTTTTGGCAGTACAGAACTTGAAAATGGCTTTGATAAAAGCAAGCAACGCAAAGTCAACCTTGCTAAAACTTTAGTACATAGGGCACTGATGATCTGCTCGAAGTCTAAACTGTATGCTGTCAAACTGGAAAAAACTCAAAACGATCTTTCTGGAAAACGGCTATCCAGAAGATGTCATTTCATCTTATACTTAGGAGAAGATCGCAAGTTTTTCGACCGTTCAAAAGTTTGTTCCGCAAAAGCGCACAGTTTATTTGAAACTACCATGCATTGGCACTTTCTTGCAATTCAAGAGTCAGATTAGGCAAGCCATCACAAAATGTTTCGTTGCTGTCAATCCTCGTATTGTTTACAGCACTAGGAGGAGCCCTTCCTCCATTCAAAGGATTGCGTTCCTACCAACCAAAAAAGTTTCGTTATTTATGAATTTATGTGCCAGTGTGATTCTGGCTATGTAGGACGCACTACTCAGAGATTGGGGGATAGGATAAAACAACATGCTCCTTCCAACATAAGAAACAAAACTGTCCCTCAAAGAGAACAGCCTCCGCAATCTTGTAGGTCTAGAAACACTGTTAAAACAAGTGGTTCTGCCATCGGTCAACATCTTTTAGACAATCCAGATTGTGCTAAACTCTATAATGATGACACGTTTCAGATAATTGGCAGAGCCCGGTTGTCTTTCCATCTAGCAGTTTTTGAATCGATCTACATACAATACAAATGAAAAAGCCGCCATTTTGTAGGCAGAAGAAGTTTGTTTTCTCTCTGGGACTCTAATGGTAATTTTTTGTAGGCTCGCGGCACTGATTGGTTAACTATACTGGTCTTGTGCTTGCATTTTTCTGATTGACATATTTTGATCCACAACTGAGTATATATTTTTGATCGTGTTCTTTCGGACCCTTATTCTGACGTTTTATGCTCTGAGGAGTGTCAGACGAAAAAGCTTTTAGCCTATATGTTGTAAAATGTTTGCATTTTTTCAAAGCCATTTTCAAATATTATTTCAAAATTTCAGCTAGATTGTGATGCATTTAGTCATATTGATGATTGGGTCTTTGTTTTAACCTAAATTTTAACTATTTTTAACTTTTTTTTTAATAACTTTGTTTCTTGCATTGTTGATGGGGTGTATAGTTATTGGGACACATTTAGAAACATGGTTAGTAATTTTTCTTTTGCTTGACAGAATTCACAAGAACCTTGAATGTTAGCCACAACGAATGGATCCATGTGCAGGTCTGCAAGAGGCTTGTTGACGTTTTTGACAGCGTTAATGATGTCGATCAATTTGCTGAAGTTGAAAGTAAGTTTATGCGACCTGGGCAAAGATCAATATGTGAAAGACCCAAAGAACTGTTTCTTTAGTAATACATGGAGTACAAGTGAACATGCATCATTTCTAAATACTTAATTTATTCTTTTAGAGTTTTCCATCAAACTCGTGTTAAAAGCATGAAATTTTTGTTTATATTAGCTGTCCAAATGATGTCAAATATGACTGGGTCACTCAAAATTTGTCAGTAAATTTTCAGTAAAAAAAATTTATGAAATTTTGGCAATTGGTCTCCAGGCTATTACAACAGATGAATCGAATCACAAACAAATTCAAATTTTTTTTAACAACGTTTATTACTTTCTTTTATGATCTATTAATTCGATGGGTCTTATTTATGATTTTTCACTGTCTAATTTGGTTACAGGAGAGCTGACTGAGCCTGAATACAGTCTGGTAGGTACTGATTTTTCTGCAAAACATATGCGAATTACTAGCAAGGCCTTTAATCTAGGTTGCCAAGCAACTTAAAGCAGGCTCAGATACAAATTTCACCGATCTTGCATTTTGGTCGAAAAGTTTGCAAAGCCAGTGTTTTGAAGCTTTTCATTCTTGATGATTATTTTTTGGTGCTTTCAAGGATATGGTTTAAGGTTACGGTAAACGTTTTTGACACGATATTTGGTTTTCTCTTCCTAAAAGCAAAACCATTAACGGAATCAGACTAAACTATACATCATTCGATGCACAAGAATGTGGTGATTCCAACCATATCAAAATAATTGGCAAATATTGTAAAATGATACTTTCCAGGCAAATTTATTGCTTAAATGAGTGTACCACCTTCAAAAGCAATTTTGTACCCTTGCGTTTGAGGTAACGAAATCTGACTTATATCAGCAGAAAGCGCAGATCCTTAGCTACCAAAGTATGTCTCAGATTTTTCAAACTCCTCCTCCCTTTGAAACTTAACCCTGTCAAAAATTGGCAAACATAGCTGTTTTGGCTATAAAAGACGGACCAGAGCAAATAAAGAAATTTTGAGACACTTTCAGTAGATTTCATCGTATGAGTTTACTTGAGCAAAAATATTATTTGTCTATTTGTTTTCATTTGCACATCTACAGAATTTTCCTGAGATTAAAGAAATGAACTTCTCTGGCAAGCCGTTTGTTTGCATAAAGCCATGTGACAGCCAGTATGGTGTTGTTAGTGTTAACCGTATGGGTTTTGTTTGTTGTACATGTTCAATCGTCAGAAGTGCTTGTGTGCATGTTGGGTGTTTGAAGGAAATGTTGCATAAAGAGAATGAAAGCCTTCCAGTTTTCATATTGGAGATGGAGTCACTTCGCTACGATATACAGCAGACTGGTCCAAAACCAAACTGCTACTTGCCAAAAGCCATGTCAGCATGCAAAGTGACATGGAAGACAACTCCTTGCCAGCAAAAGATTTATAACTTTTAAAGTGAAAGAGCACCTGATAATCCTATCAAGCTTTCCCCTCCAAATATTATTTGTCCCAGCTGTAGCAGTGAAGTTTCAGAGCTTGTTTACCCAGTGCAAAAGAGATTGTTTCTTCGGTCCAATTATGTTACAGTCGAAGGTTAGTTTACTTTCCTTTTACATTTTTGAAAATTCAGCTATTTGAGATTTGTTTGAAAGGAATGGATTCGCGCAAAGGTTTAGCTTGCATTAGTGAGCAATTTTAGGCATATAATTTCTATGCATCATATAGTATTAATTTACACATCCACTTACACTTATAGATAAACTCACTTTCCAGTCTTGATCACTGGTTCATGCCTTTTGTTCAGTAAACTTAAATAACTCCACGACCACCATATAAGCTGGAAAGGGATCTTTTGATATATTATTTTAAGTCCTCAAGTCCTTAAGTCATGCTTTCTGTAGTTGAAAACACATTTTGATTATATTTTTGTTTGTTTTTCAGTATATGCTCGGTTGTGTTCCAATTGCTCTTTCCTTCAACAGTACTGTGGCACTTCTGATGGAATTTTACATATGGGATCTTTTCTAATTGGTCATGATGTTTTGCGAGATTATTTGTTTCAATTTCTAACTGGAAATAGGTTTGTTCCTGATTAAAAACTGGCTATTGTAGGTTTGCATGGCAAAATAACTGCCAAAGTATCATCTGTAAGACTCTCAACCTTTTATGCTCAGTGAATATGGATGAATATAACAAATTGTTGATCAGAAACCTTAGATTTTATTAGAATCCTAGTTATGAGAACTTATATCATTTGAATGTAAATAAATTCAACCTCTGATATCTACACATTGTGTTGAGTAGAATTACAATATTTAATAATTTAATTTCAATTTACGTTACCGTTTTAGTCTACATTAATGCACATTACAATATTTTTGACAATTTAATGCAAACATCAATGAAGATTATGATGAATATTAATGACAACTTTTGAATTGTTCAGAAACCATGCTCCTGATTAATAATAGATAAGTCTCTAGGTACCTACCTCTCAGAGCTGACCATAAACCAAATCAGTGTATATCTCTTCTTAGTTGCAGCATTGTCGGATTTTACGACAAATGTAAACTGACTTTTGAAGCGGCAGGGCTGTCACCACGACTGTCACCACGAGAGCTGTTAACGTATCATAAGTTGCGCTTTTCTTGGTACTCTTTTCTACATTTTGTCGATATCGATTACGTTAATGGTTTCATATGCGACATTTGTGGGCAATTTCCAGATACTATAGTGTGTGACGCAACAACACTTGGCTTTAAAAAAGCTACTTCCAAGATGTGCTTGTGGCTTCTGGAAGCAAGGGACAACATAGAAAATCAATGAGGTATAACCAGTGGGTATAACGAGATTGTTGGCTGAACTCAAACTCAAACTCAAAACATTTTTTTTCAGCAAATCAATTAATTACACGTAACGTCATTTAAGTAAGTTGTTTAAAATTCAATTATTAAATCCAAAATTACAATAAGAACATTAAAGAAAAAAAAACCTTATATATAATTAAATCAGCTGACGGACACATCAAGATAGAGCTATGACAGAAAAAAACTCAAGATAGAGCTATCAAAGCCATGTGCCCGGTTGACGTGATTTGACGACGAGTTTACAATTCATTTTGGTTTGAATAACAGTAAGAATAACAGTATAGAAATGCAAATGCCACTAGAAAAAAATCAAAGGAAATGATTTTTCGATTTTAGATCATACATAAATTGAATAAATTACAAGAATATCAAATTTTTAGACAGCTAAATATTATTTTATTTTATATTTTGTTGGATGACCTCCAGGCAAGGGCACTGGAGCCAGGGGGCAGCGGGGGCAGCGGGGGGACAGCCAGGGATGGTGCTATGGGGTGTCATGGGGGGCAACTGCCCCCAAAAAGTTCCCATGTCGGCAGCTCAATATAAGAAAAGAAAAAGAACTGTCAGCATTTGAAACTGTCAAATGAGGAATTTACCTTCTTTGAAAGAACCATTGACTTTCAGTAAAACCATAAAACCATTAGAGCTATCAGGCTGGATTGTTCCCAAATTGTTATTAAATCATAATGGTGTAAGCAGTGTAATTGCTAAATATTGTGCTTAAGGGGAGTGTTCAGGCACCATTTGCGCACGAGTCACTTTGTTATTTTTGATAACATTGCACCCTTGTCTAGTACTGTAGTTCGATTTTTTGTGATATAATGAACTTGAAAACTGATCGCAAATTACAAATTAACATACCGTCATTGAATTCACTTTTAAATCACGTTCTAGACGTCCACTATATTGGGCTCTTGTTCGATGGTATTTGTTATTGTTAAATGTTTCTCCCAATCAGCTCTGGCTTTCACAAAATAAAGCCCAGAAAATCCAGCACCAAAATTTTCAAAAGTGCCTGGTCCCAAGTAAGACAAGTACTATCAAAGTCAGTTCAGAATTCAAATTCTTAAAAAACTTAAGCTTACGAATGTTAAACTTCCATTCTAAAGCTATTATTCCTTGGCAATAGGTACTTTAATATATTCTTCGAATGGAACTAATATTGTTTGAAAACCTGCAAGCATCGTAGCAGAAATTAAGTTTACAATCGCTGCACAAAGAAACAATCCTCTTGGTCCAAAATGTGCATACAAGGAAGTCGTTAACAGTGGTGCAGCAAAATCTCCAAATGAGCCAGCACAGCTGAAGAAGGCCATGTACAAACCCTGATAAAAAATCAAACAATTGATTCATGTCCAAATTAAAAAATGTAAGGAAAAGGGGCTCTAAAGTAATTATTGACATTTTCTTCTATCAATTCAAGGGTCCATTTACACGATACTGCACGCTATCATTCTATATTGGTCTGCATTTTAAAGGAACGGCTGAAGAAGGGTGTGAAATGAAGACTTTTGCGGTAAAGTATGGAAGTGAATACAGTATGATATCATAACGTATTGGTTGATTTCTTGTTTACACAATACATTTCATAGATACAGTGAGACGTGCATCATAACGTATTTGAACGAATACTGAGCGAAATAATAACATATTAGCTTTCTCTTTACAAGTTGCCTCTGATAAATATGGTGCGAAATCAAGACATTCATGAAAACGTATTGTAGTGAGGAGGGAACGATATCATAACGTATTGGTCTTTCGGTCTGCTGATGGACACGGTAGATAAGGGAGGTGTACACGATAACGTATTGAGGTGAAAACAGCGTGATAGCATAACGTATTGGCCTTCAGTGTACATGATGCCGCTGATAAATATGGTATGGAATAAAGACATACGCGATAACGTATTGAGATGAGAACGGTACGATGTAAAAGCGTTTTGGTCTTCAGTGATGCTGCTGATGAGTATGGTATATAAAAACACTTTCGCCAATTTAATATTAGATAAAAAAAGCATCTTGTTTATGATGGAATCTGATAGAATTTATATAAAGTTGGTCAATGGGGCTATTTTTGCCTTTCGATATTAGCACCATCGTGCTTTTCCATTTCTAGACCCCTTGTCCTATTCTTTCTAACAGTGGCTCTTCCCATCTATTGTTAATGGCAATGTTACTTGATAAATACATTTTGTTAGTGTTATAAATAATATTTGTTTGAATGAAGTAAATACAAATTAACTAGAAAAAACTTCGTCGTGACGAAATTTTGGACAGATTTGGTCAGGACGAAATTTTTTGCATCAAGATTTTTGAGAATTCGCATAGAAAAACTCTTACATGAGGTTAGGAATAAAATCAAGGTATCGGTTTTATCTTTTCACTGTCAACCACGTCCTTTTCCTCATTTACAACGTCTCCATAATTGAATTTACCGTCGGCTTCATGATGATCATCATCATTGTCGGTTCTTGAACAAACTTCGTTATCACCATTGTTTAATGAAAATAATTTATAGTTGCGTAGCGAGAGGGTGCCCCGTGGCAAAAAAAATATTTGAAAGAGGGCGTTTTCTGGCGTTCTAAAGGATGAGGACTCCAATTTTCCCCTGATCAACACGCTTTTGTCCCTTTACCTCCCCATCTTACCACCCTGGCTACCTGCTCTAGCTGTCTTTTGTCACCGGTTTCAAAAGATTCCATCTCTGTCTATTTTTAATTAACTGTACTATTTCTTTCATTCATTCCGGGTAATTGCACTTTTCAACCCAAATTTTGAACTCACCAGGAAGCAAACTTTCCAGACCAACATTTCCTGTCATATTCACACTTTTATATTTAAATATACTCTGTCTTTAAACTGTCATACCATTTAGATATAAAGTAGAGACCCTTTGAATGCTAAAAGCATCTTTGTTGACCCCACCTTTGCATAAACTGAGTAAATAACAGCTTTAATTTGGTTTTTCTGACATGCTGCCTGAGGGGTTGAGCCAAATACCGAGCGGGTGCTCAAGCCCTTAAGCCTCCACGAAGTTGGTACCTATGGGATTGAGTGTTAAGCAACCTGTATGGTTTTGCCTCTGAAGATTTTGGTAATATGTTGATATCTTTGTGTTAAAATTCCAAGACGAAATTTGTCACGACGAAATTCTGCAAAGATGTCCGAAATTTTTTCGACCACGTTTATCCGTCGAAAATTTAACTGAAGAAAAATTTTGTTGTTAATGTAGTTCCCTCTCACCTGTTTCCTTGGTCCGATTATTTTCGAATAAAGTAGATAAGTGACAATCCGGGACATAGCATAGCCAACAAACGCAAAGAAAACCCCGATAGCAAATTGAATTGAGCGTATCTTGGGTGTGGTTTTGCACCAGTTGTACTTGATTGGGCATCCGGGAGACAACACTATCTTCGAAATATTTCCAACAACAATTGAATCTAAAAGAAGAAGTGATTGGTTCATATATCAGAAGCAATCGCAAGTAAGCATTGCGTAAATGTACACCATAAAATGAGATTTGAGTTTGCAATTAAGGAACAATTCCAAATCAACAAAACAAACTGAATATCTTAAAATGTAGCTGATAATGGATAAAAAGTAAATTCTAAAGGAACATGTTTTTAACATGCGAGTTGTTTCACAGACAGATAAAACAGTGATCTTCGTGTAAACAAGTCCTTCCGACTACCATAAACGCACCTTTCGATTGAAGTATAGGGCGCTCACTTCCCCAAGGCAGAAGGACAACAAATGCCACAAGCGTTATGAAACTCCCGGTTAAAAGAATTGTCCTTTCGCGAAATCTGAAAAAGAAAATTGTTTCAATTCTGTATATAGATCAGTTTAAGCACATAAGCAGTCGATTTTCTGTTGCCAGCACCAAAAGTTTAGAAAATTTCTTATAAGTTTGGGCAAGATTGCTGAAACAGCACAACTTTTGTATCTTGACAAAAACAAGAAAAACAACTGTGTAGTAAAGAAAATTTCTTTATAGCTTGAGCAATCTTGCAGTTATTGATGATAAAAAACATTTCAGAGGCACTAGTTTGTGTAACCAATTTCCCAAATGCACATTTTCTGTCTTGTTGCAAATAAAAACAAAATACATAAGTAAATTGTGTTCAACTGACTTAGTCTACCACTTTGTTTGAATGTTCTTTACAATTTGGTAGTATGAGGTGTGTCTTTGAAGTTATCAAAATAAATATCCATTCAATATAAGGGAAAGTAATACGTTTCGAATTCCTAGCCAAAAGAGGACGTCATAACTTGGGGAAACTCACCCTAACCGAAGAGGACTTGGAAAAAGGACCCTTTTTCTGCGACATATTGTCACATCCCCCTTAGCTTTTTCCAAGTTTCAGTTTCTTTTAACATCCCTGATGATAACTCACATATAACTAGCTTTCGTTTTAGAATAAAGCTAAGGTATTAGGAAATAACAAAAAAAGGAACCTGTTTTGTGTACGTCTGATGATGATAAAAGCTGCCAAGGTGATAATACTTAATGAAGACAGGGTTATGCCTGCGTACAGAACTGCTTCGTCTTTTCGCAGGGCAAACTCGTCTCCCAGCAATGGATTTGTCATACTAGAGATGATTGGAAAAGATATCATTTCCACTAAATATTTAAACCATTTCAGAAGAACTGAGCAGTGCCGTCGAAACCGGGTGGAGAAGGGCGGGGGGCAAGGGGAAAAGATTGGCAGATTTCTTTTGAAATCCTTCTTGTTTAAGTTTCTGGCCATCTGTAAGATGCCACATTTCTAAAATTTTTCTTACCGCCAACCAAGGTGATGGCCTTTCCTAAGCCCTATCAAGACAGTGATATTTTGGCCCCTCCACCTTCAAATACGTCTCGACGGCCCCTCCAAGCCAAAACCTTTGAAAAGAAAACTACTTGATTAACAATCAAATTTTGATACAAACAAAAGAAAGTCATTCCTTTCGATATTTAGCAAAAGAGATAAAAGAAGTGTAATGGATAAGACAAGGGTAAAGCCCTGGTCAGACGATCCAACATTTCGCCCAACATTTCACCCAACATTTTTTTCAATGTTGGAAGGTGATCCAACGTTGATGGTCAAACGAGAGTCGAAGCGAAAATCGAAGCGAAACTCGAAGCAAGAGTCGAAGCGAACGAAATCAACCCGAAAAGTACCGACTACGTGTGCGCAGAGCTAACAATGTTGGCTGAGGTGGTCAAACGATCCAACAATTCACTAAACACTTCAAAAGAAAAGAATTGTTGGACGTCGGCAGCCAACATTTTTTAATTCAGTCAATTTTCGTCCAACATCGAAATTTACAATGTTGGGTGACCCAACAAGGTGGTCAAAAGATCCAACATTTCGCCCAACATCAAGAAATTATCAATGAAGCATCACTAGCATCTAAGGGGTCTGGTCTGCAAAAAATTCCTCCAGTTCCTCTGCTGTCAGCCTAGTCTTTGCCCCTCCAAATGCCCACCCTGGCTACGTCTCTGTCTAGAGTACATCTACCAAAAACCTGCACCGTCAATTTGCATCTGTTTTTTTATATGACCCACCCTCTTTCTAAACCCCCTTTACTTTCACATCCTTTCTTATTCTTTCACGATCTTTTTGCCTTTCTTTGACCTTGTGATACCGCTTGTACACCCATTTCTTATAATACCAGAATGGTAAAATTGATATCTAAATTAGTTGGATATAAACTTCAGCTTACGTTTGAATCGTCGAAACATTGTATAGAATGACGAAAAAGGCTATTATTGTAACCAAAGCAGCACGCAGGTTTGGCTTCAGAAGATCACCTAAAATCGAAACACAGTATATGAAAATACATAAAATTCTTTTTGACAGATGATTTGAACCTAGCAGATAACAGCCCTGCGGCAAATGCATCTAGGCAGATGGTTTTGGGTTCTCGTTCAGTTTTAACCGATGCTCTAGACTTCTGTATTTTGCCCCCTTATCATTAAGTGACCTACGTGGGCGCTGAATAAACACAAGTAGAGAAGGAACTACCCTACCTATTTAATCTTCCAGTTAAACATAAACATGCGAAGCAGAAATACACTCTCTTTGTAGAGTTCCCTCTTGCTTCAATCAGTTTTATTTGAAGAAAGCTTGTGGAAATCAGATTTACTTTAAATCAACTCAAAAGTCTCCTTCAAACAATTTACGGAAATGAGATTTACGAAAACTTTATAGCTTATTTCACCATTTATCTTCCACCAATTGCAAAAATTCATTGCGTGATGAAAATGGGCCCTTTAAACAATGCGAGCATTCTTACTTACTTTATTTATTTGTGAGTAGCTGAATATATTTACGATACACTGCATGAAGTCAAATAGAAAAGGACATGATATATTGCCTGTGCTGTCTTTCACATCAATGTTGTGTTCTTTGAACCAGATAAGAGTGATGAATATTCTGAAAAATGTCGTCACTATTCCGATCCATCCAGCAATGTTGAAAATGTCAATATTCACAAACGAATAATGTATTCCTTTGCCCAGCAGAGGTACGGCTACAGCTTGCAGAGCTGAAAAATAAAATACTCCGGAATTAGCTTTTTTGCTTCGATTGGGCCCTACCATTCTCTTGATCGCAAAATTTATCCTTATCTCGAATAAAAACTATCTAACGTTCCCTTTCAAATTGCAATAATAAAAACTTCATCAACTGAGCTGATTTTCTAGTACATAAATAAGATGTGCCATTTTCTAGTCAGGATCCACGCCACGTTGTAAAAGCCTTTCAGTCACAACTTTTCCATTTGCATGACTTTGATGGCTTTTTTTTGGTCTTTCAACAATTCAAAGATCGACAGCATTAAAAATATTTTGTAGTGGCCTGTTAAATTTGACTTCACATGATAAGGAACTTACACTTGTTACGAGAGACTTAAGAAACTGTTGATGTGGTAGCTTTTTTAGGAATAGTCCTGATGATAGATATAAATTTTGCTTATGAGACTAAGTTACAGAGACTTTGGAACCCAAGGTATAAGGGACTGGTCCAGGGTTTGGGGTTTGGGCCAGCCCTGATAGCTAAATAGGAGTAACAACAGCTATAATTAATGTTACAAATCAAAAAAAGGATTTAATTTTGCTACATAAGCTTATAGGGAGGCCAAGGCCCCCGGTGCTCGGTATCTCGGTCATTGAACTGGTCCCTTTTGTTGACTATGTTTTTAATACTTGGCAAAGCCTGGTCGTCGTTTCACCTAGCAGTTTTAGATGTACATAAAGAAAGAGAAACCTCTTGCTGCTCTGATTGGTTAGGTGTTACAGTCATGTGATCACGATTTAAAATTTTCCCGATAATATTCCTGATAATAATCCTGATAATAATCCTGATAATAAATCTAAATCCAAAACAGCTGGGTAATTATATAAAATATATTTCCTAGTTTAAAATTATCCTTCATTGCTCTGACGTTTCAAAAGTGTTTGATTAAAGTTTTAGCTTTGTTAACGCGATAAATTCTGGAAAATCCTTTATCTTTCCCTTTTTCCTTTATCTTTCCCTCTATCTTTCCTTTTTCCTTTCCCTTCTCCTTTATCTTTCCCTTCATCTTTACCTTTATCTTTCCCTTTTCCTTTTCCTTTTCCTTTATCTTTCCCTTCTCCTTTATCTTTCCCTTCATCTTTACCTTTATCTTTCCCTTTTCCTTTACCTTTCCCTTTTCCTTTCCCTTTTTCCTTTCCCTTTTCCTTTCCCTTTACCTTTTCTTGTATCTTTACCTTTTATTTTATCTTCTCCTTTATCGTAACCCTTATATTTTACGTACAATTTAACTTGGCACGACTTGCAAGAAATTATCCAACTTCAGTTACACAAACAGGAGAAAGGTGGTTCTTTGAAAGGTGTCATTTCATCAGAATATCAACAAATAAAGTTTACAAGAAAAATGGTTTACTCACCTGGACCAATTCCAGATACTAATTCTTTCACTACTTCCATAACTTTCAATGCATTGTTCTTTTCGTGTTTTGCAGTCGACTGGGACATCACAGCGCGACAAACAGCTAGGTCTCCTAGAACAATACATTCAGATTTTTCTCCAAACATGAAAATGGCGAAATCAGGGGAGAGGGCACTAAGAAGGAGGGTAAAAGCTGAACTTTCTGACGTGTGGCCTGCCATTGAGATGATAAAAAGCGATATTATTTGGTGAAGGAAACGCAAGAGTGTCGGCATAGATTTTGGTAACTCTAAGATACGAGTGGCTACCAACACTAAATATTGGTTGGCATAAGGATCAAAATACAAACAACGCAATACCAATTTGTTGTTCTACTAGAGATAATGTCTCAGATCAGAGACTTGTATTATTATTCAACTATTTGAGACAAATTTGAGTGAAATAGCATTTTACCTGCTGAAAAGCCAACTGTAATTCTTGCAAGCAAAATCAACATTTTACCATCATAACCAGGATAGTTTTCAGCACATACGTAAATAACATTCCCAATAAAACGAAGAGATGCACCTGCCAACAGTGGCTCGATAGCTGGACGGTATTGGCACCAAGCACCGAGCACAACGGATCCAATAACCTGAAAAATGCTGTAACCACCAACTACCAAACCCAGAAACTGAGCATTGACTTCTTGGTCAACCTACAAAATTGAAGCAGAAATTTGTTTACATGTATTCACAAATACATGTTTGTTTACATGTGTTTACAAATTTCTATGAATCGTCGTTCAATCCAAGTCCTGTATCTCAGGACTTGCATTCAACATCTTATCCGTCACGTTCTATGTTCTTCATAATTGATTTAAATTGTTATTTCTCATTAAATAATTGAGATTCTAGCATCAAGGATGTAGGAACTGTAACACAGACATACTTCATTGATTTAAGAAGTCATTTAAGAATACGTCAAGCCCTGTCAAGCTAAATTTGAAAGTGATTTTTATGTTAAGTGCAATCAGTGCTATGCTCATGGAATCGGGCCTAGATCTTTTACAATAGAGACAAATAACTGTGGCATAATAGAAGAAAAATTACCTTTTTTAAATGAGGCCAAACTGATGAGTAAATCGCTGAGTGTTCTACAAAAAGTAGAAACGAGCTAAGAAATTTGCACTTGCGCGCCATTTGTTACCGAATGGACTATGGCGCGACAAATGACAATATGACGTCTTGGATCAAGTCAGCAAATGCTTAATTGCAATCAATTTAAAATCATTTTGACAGGACATGCGGCCGTCCTTAACAATTCCCTGCACATACGAGAGTCGGCCATTAGAGCAGTACCAACCAACCAACCAACCAACCAACCAACCAACCAACCAACCAACCAACCAACCAACCAACCAACCAACCAACCAACCAACCAACCAACCAACCAACCAACCAACCAACCAACCAACCAACCCACCAACCAACCAACCAACCAACCAACCAACCAACCAACCAACCAACCAACCAACCAACCAACCCAACCAACCAACCAACCAACCAACCAACCAACCAACCAACCAACCAACCAACCAACCAACCAACTAGCCAACCAACCAACCAACCAACCAACCAACCAACCAACCAACCAACCAACCAAACAACCAACCAACCAACCAACTAGCCAACCAACCAACCAACCAACCAACCAACCAACCAACCAATCAAACCAAATTGGAATTTTGAAAGACATTTTTTTCTTCGTATAAGCTCATATGTGCTGCAGTCTCAACTTGTCCTTTGCTACTAACAATGGCGTACCCAAGAGGGGGAATGGAGGGGTCCGTACCCCCCACTTTTCTAAAATATGGTCCTCGAGATTTGTCCAAAAACGATGTAAAACTTATTGGGGGGGGGGGGAGGTTAGTATACTGTATGCATGTGTCAATAACAATTGTAAAATGCTTTGCTATTTACCGTAGCTAACATGAATAAAAAATGGGGGAAAATTTTGCAAAAAGGGCGTTTCCCCGGATTTGCGAGTGTTTTAAGGGCGTGGTCCCCAAAAAGATTTTGGGGGCTACGCCCCGGACCCCCCGCTGATGCAGCCCTCGGTACGCCACTGGCTACTAATTGAGCGGGGGCAACGGGGCAAAGCGCCAAGAAAAAGACCAAAATCTGGCAAAATGCAGGAAATTTCAAAATTTTTGAGGGAATGGGGGGAAACCTCCCCATCGTGTCACTGTGCTCTGGCGTTTTTCTAAAAATTTCAAGTTTAGGTTTTCTAACAATTTCAAGATGAGGTTTTCAAACAATGCTTCGCAAAAATTAATTGCAAGATTTGACCTGATGTACAACTACAATTTCGTTGAAAAACAACAACGTTTCATTTACCCATTGCACTGAGTGCTAGAGTTGAGTAAACGATTCTTATTGTCCTCCATCTTGATTTGTACTCTTCAGGGGTCTCGTGTTGATCATCATCTGTGGTTTCGTTTGCCACACTGTCACTGCAATACAATAACGCGTATCATACCGGGTAGGAATGCACTTTACTGAATACGTAACTTTCATTCTAGTCTACTCTGTGCTTAAGAGATTCGCCTGTAATAAGTCAGCGTGCGCAGTTTAACGTAGCACGTGACAATGGAAATCAAAATAAGCCAATAGCAAACAAGGTGAGCTTTAATAGGTAAGATACCTAAACTATCAGCTATCTTTTCAATAAAAAATTAACAAAAAAGTGGAAACTCTTTGCTTTGTGTCCCTCTACTTTGTCTTTGGCTTTTCATTTTGCAGGGGTGGAACAATTTCCCTCTTGGATCACTGATCATGATAGTGGGTATGCTCAATGTCTAGCTCTTAAGAATGTGCCTGTTCAGCGTAAGACTTCCAACTCAGGTGAGCTATATTGGGCACCGGAGAAAATATTCTCAAACTTGTTTCTGAGGTTAGAGTCAAGCCAACAAAATAGTTTTATTTAAAAAGCTGTGGCATTTGTGTTCAAATTTATATAAAAGACCAATTCATTTGTTTTTCTTAAAATTGCATGAATGAGCATAAGGAAAACTCTTTTACAGTTTGTATAATGGAAGAGCTAAGAAAACATTCTCCATAAATCTGCTTTCAAAAACATGAACTACCTTGCCCCGTTCAGGAGCTTTTCCTTCTCCATATTTGAGCTATGAATCTCTTTCATTTTCAAATTTTTCTTTTCAGTCGATCTACAAGTGGAAGAAACAGACACTTTAGCCCAGAAAACACATTTATACGACAATGACTATGGGGATTAAAACCACCCTGAACACAGCCTCTAGGGGTGAGTAGCTGTGTTCAGGGGGGGGGGGGGGGCTATAATCTTCTTAAGTCACCTAACTAAAAACCTATTCGAAATTATTCTGAAAAATAACTGGCTGCAGCACAGGAAAGCCAGCACTTGAAGAGGGCAACTGTCAACCCTCCCGGTTCAGCCAGGAGACTCCCGGTTTGACTGCTTTCTGCCGGTCTCCCGGTTTTTAAAATTTTTATCCCGGTTTCAAAGATGTCTAGCAGAATGTCTAGGAAGATTCTTCACCGAATGTTCGATAAACCAATTTGACTTACGACCTCGTTTTGGAAATTTCTCCAAACTTAATTATACGACTTTTTAAAGCGCAGATTTGGTTTTATCGCCATAATTTTTGGCGGGATACCATTTTTCATATTGTTCCAGCTTGTATTTTAGATTTTACGGAGAAATGAAGTTTGAAAACTTGTAAGGGATTTGACCGCAAAAATCGTTCCGGGGGAAACTTTACCCCCCTAGTCGCCAATCACGGTCAAATCCCTTATAAAGTTTTTACCTTTGTGTCGTCATAAAATCAATATCGTGAGCAATATGGTAATGAAAATTTACAATAAGACTAAAATCATTGCTCTCAATCTGAATCTGAGGTCAAAAATTTTATACAAAAAAATTTTGAAAATTTTTCAAAACGAGGCCGTAAGTCAAATTGGTGTATTGAACTGCGCTTCTTATGCTTCAAAGACAGGTCCATTGTGTATGTTTTCTTATTAAAGAGTACTTGCAATTGTTTGTAGCGAAATGGTCAATCAAGGAATGACTTATTTGGGATTGTTCTTTCACCCCCTTTCTTGTGGCTACCCTCGTATAGGCCTTGATCAATTGTTCTATTTGGTATTCGGCATGTATACAGATTGTAGCTTTTTGCATTTGAGTCTAGGGGAGAGGCTCTGAAATCACAATTTGGAACACCTACGAGAATAATTTCCTTTTCATATCTGTCAGGTTTTTTGAGAAATTCACGCAGATTTCCGAATGATCTGGTATCTGTCGCACCGTTAGGTGGTCTATACCAGCCAATCAGGTAAAAGCCACTGTCAAAATTTGATTGCTCAATGCACACTTTTTGGAAAAAACAAGTACTCATCGAATAAACCCAAAGTACATATTAACCTCATTTAACTCATTCAGAATATGAACATACATGCGCTACATTAAACAAATATGACAAACAATCTCATAGCACCATTACAATGACAATAATAATGGGGGCCTCTTTTTATTCAACATATCTTTAAAGAAATAGATTTCTACATCTCAATTTCATTAGGCAGAGACAAATTTGCGACTCATCTTTTGAAAAGAATATTGAAACTTACAATGACAGTTTGAGTCAGGGGCGGCACCAGCCATTAGGCTCTTTTCAGGGCACGCCCTTCTTACTGTCAGCAAATGTTCTTTTACCAAGGAACGCTACGCTATTATTATAGGGCCTGCTTGTCATGATTCGAAATAGGCCTATCAGAAAAACGCAAGCGATCACTGTAAACACAAGTTCCGTTCTTATTTGGGCATGATACCTCTTTTATCATCGCGTCTACATTGCAGTAAAAAGGAACGGAACCAAATTCGAGCTCATTTACACTTGAGTAAAAGGAACAGAACTTCCACTTGAAGCATGCGGATTGGCGCGGCAATGATATTTGACATTTTAAGAAAGCCTCGCCCCAACCCTAGATAAAGCCTCGTTTTCAATCGTAACAAAAAAGTTCAGTTCCTAACCGTTTACACTAGAGAAAGCAAGCACGATTTGGGAATGGAGCCAAAGAGTTTTGCAATTTAGCGAAACCAAAGAAGAACGGAACCGTTCCCAAACTAGCACGGAACCAAGATGCCTAGTGTAAACGCAAGACCTATCGTCGCTTTTTCAGGCACGTAGCCAAAGAGTTCTGTTCTCTTCCTGGAGTATAATCTGTGTTGTTTTCCTACAATGAGTTGGTATTTAGGTTTTACGGTTACGCGGTTATGCAGGGCCAGCGAAACGTATTTGAAAATGAAGGGACCAAAAAGTCAAAATCTTGCAAGGGATCAGGAAACCACCATGGCTGGCAGCAAGAAAAATTTTAGAATTATGGTGTCTTAGGCATGAACAGAAACTACATCCAAATGAATTTTGACTGAAGGAAAATCCAAGGCAATATCTTTAAGCTTTGTTTATTAACATATCTCATAATCTCGTCTTTTGCAATGTTGACTTGAATCAGAAAAGGTTTTGCAAGGTTTTAGAATAACCTTTATAATGTTGCTCGTAATGAATTTTTTATTTTTAGATTTTGAAAATACCAAAAAAAGGATGGGGGAGAAAAATTGACAAAACACGGTTTAATAAAAATTACTAACATTGGAATATCAGCAGAAGAACTATCAGTTAAAAAATATGAATTAAGCATTTTTGTACAGTTGGGATATCATTTTGTGCAAGTGTTTTAAACAAAAAGACTCTTTACTTGAAACTGGGCTTATCAAAACGAGTTTCGATAGAATTTACAATTGAATTTACATTTATATTTTCTCTTTCTTAGTAGGAATGGATTATCCAAGCGACCAAACTTTGAAGTTTTCTTGATGATACTTTTTAGAAACGAATCTGTTCATTCTTTATTTTTAATATCTTAAAAAATTTTTTTTGCAGCTCTTTCTCTTCCTTCAACAGCTGATTTCTCTCTTTATGAAATGTTTTTGAAAAAGTTTTCGTTAACAAACAGACCTTCTTTGCCAAGTTTAGGCCAACGGAACGCCGTCAATTTGGGCTGGCACAAGGTTATTCTGCATCAGGCTTTTTTCTATCTATTTCCTAAGTCAAGCAGTGGCAGCATCAAGGGGTGGTATTGGGGTAATTACCCCCTCACTTTTCTAAAAACATGAGCTACATGTTTCTTCTAAAAACGGACTAAAAGCGCTGGTTAGGGTTAAATCTAATTTCCTAAGAAAAGTTAGCCTGGTACAAGCACTGAAACGAGGCAAAAGGGGCATGTAATAGCTGGCGCTGCCACTGAAGTCAAGCTGTCACCCGTTATAAAACTTGGAGAGTGACTGATTTATTCGATCAAATTCAAATATTCAATTTTGTACATGTCTTCCATGGTTAAGACATAGCAACCAATCTAGAGCGAAGGGCATATTTGAGGGATTACTAGCACAGTTACTTAAAGAATGATATAGTATGTTTCTTTCCACTTTTGCCTAAAAAAATTCCTTTGATCTGCAGAAAAGTGGGGGACATGGCCCCCGGCCCCCCCCGGTTTCGCCGACCGCGTTATATCCATATTTCGGCTCGGTTTTTCCGTTTCTGCCATAAAATCTATCGTATTTGCAGTTTGCGAAGGTGAACATTTTCGGTATTTGGGTCGGTTTTCTGGGTCTCAGTCTCTGTGTATTTGTTTTTGCCTCGTACATAATGAAAAGTGACAAGTAGTTCATAAAGGAGTCCCACAAGGATCAGTGTTATGTTATACAAAATATATCAGAAGGGAGACAGCTGAATGAACATGGCTTTAAAAGGCAACAGAACATGAATCTTTAAGAAAAACAAAATGACTGACGCAAACATCGAAAGACATTCGCATTAACAATAACGAACCACAAACACGATGCACGACAGACAAAACTAGTTGTATAACAGTTAGAGCCTCTCTAATTTAACGTGTATATAAACGACTTTTTTCTTCTGATGAATCGAGCCGAAATATGCAACTATGCAGACGATACCACTATCTACATATGCGACTCTGAGAAAAAAAAATGTCATTGGCGGACTAGAACAAGATGCCATCCAACTATCAACCAGGTATCCTGAAAACTATATGAAATACTGACAAATGTCATTTTTTGATTTTTGGCGAGAAAAAAGAAAAGATGAGATTAAATGTAGGAATGGCGGTAATAAAAGAAAGTGACGAAGAATACTGGGAGTTACACTAGATACAAAACTTAGTTGCAAAACTCATGTGCAGACTCTTTGTAAAAAGGCCAGCCAAAAACTGCATGCTTTATCTCGTATTTCGATTTTCATGGAATCCGAAAAAATTAAACTGATGATGAACCCTTTTATAATGTCACAATTCAGCTACTTCCCATTAATCTGGATGCTTCATGACAAAAATATTAATAACAAGATAAACAGGATACTGGAAAGGGCCCTTCGAATTGGATACAAAGACAACACCTCTCCTTACGAGAAATTGTTAGAAAATGATATTTCGGTATCTATACATCAGAAGAACCTACAGTTGCTCATGGTTGAAATTTACTTAACAAAGAATCACTTGAATCCCTCGTTTATTATGGAAATTTTGAGGAAAAGGCAATGCCGTATCAACTAAGAAGCTCGAGCAATTTAAACCTACCAAAAGTGAGAACCACATGCTATGGTACAGATACCGTAAGGTTCATCGGTCAAAGAGTAGGGGCAAAATTACCTATAGAAGTGAAAACTTCAGTCTCTTCCACTGTTTTTAAAAAACATCTTAAGACAACAAAATGCAAACATTGCAACTGTAGGATTTAAAAAACTTTTATATATAGTTTAGGTTTTTTGTAATTATTATTTATTTCTCTTGTATACACCTTTGTAAATAGTTGGCCTTAATTTGCTTTTATTTTTAGATATTTCGAACAGCCAATTTCAAACCAAAGTATTAATAATAATAATATTAATAATACTGATATTAGCGCAGAACAATTTGAAGAAGCAATTGACGAAGACGAGAATTCAGACGATGTTGATGAATTCGATTTCAACAGTGATGATGGAGGATTTAGATTATCAGAAGCCAAAAACGATGGATTTGGAAAATTATTAGGCTTTCTCTTAGGTGCACTTTACGGAATACCCTCGAGCGCGGAAATGGAAGATATGATTCTTGGCTCTAAAGTGAGATC